CACCTGCTGCCTTGCGGTTAGGTTCTTGTTAGAACTAAAGGCTTTGGTCGAGAACCCTAATCGTTCTCCTGCTTAGTGGCTGGACACCCTAGCAGTACCCGTCCATCAAACCTCAGTGCGTATGCATTGCGAGTTTGATAGCGATCAGTGAAGTTCGCTTCCCTGTATTACTCTGTACGAAAATAATGATTAAGTATGTGAACATTTGTCGACGATGCAGAGAATAAGAGTTGCTTTTCTACGTGAAGTACTTTCTGAAATAAACCGGTTCCTAAAGTGTTAAGGTTTATCGGGTAGTTAATGAAAGTTGGCTTAGCGTCGCGCCCGTGTAATAATTCCAGACTAAAACAAAACAAACTTTTCATTCCCGTCCCGGAGTGTGCCGTTTCTACGGAACTGTATCGGGCTCGCACCTGGGTGTGGGCGATTTTCACTGATTCGTCGTTCATCTTTAGCTCTTGAGGCTTTGGACTGATTCAGTAATGATTACTCTGTCTAGGGGCCACAGCTTTTTTATTACATATTTGTATAACGAACAACAGATGGGTTGGACACCGTAGTCACGAAGACCTGCTGCTCAGTGATGGGAACCGGTGCATTATTCATCTCTATGACTACCATGCAACGCGTCTAGCTCTTGCTTTAGTTCTGGTTAAAAACGCACAAACGGCTGGGTAAGACAAACGACGACCTTCTAATCGAGTTCGGTGGGGCTTTTTGCGGCCAGTGGGTCGGAGACTGGTCTGCATCACAACTAATGCGTGATCAGATAAGCGCCCGCATTTCCAAGGCTTGAGCCGCATACGCAGGACTGGAGCACCTTTGGCGTAGACGGGACGTTTCACTGAAGTTGAAAAAGAGTGCATACAGTGCCACCGTTCGTTCAGCTCTGTTTTATGGTTGAAACCTCGAATTTGAGAGCAGAAGATAGCCGTCTACTAGAAGTTTTCGATTGTCGGTGTTTACTTAGGTTAGCCCATGTGGGATGGAGCGTACGGGTTAGTAATCTGGACGTAAGTCGTGTGTTTGGGAGTTTATCAGGGATAAACCTGCTAGCACACCGAATTCATATTACCGGGCTTCGCTGCTTAGGGCACGTATGCCCAGCTTGCACCTTCTAAGTGCAAAGTGCTTGTTCAAGACTGTCAGGACCCTGTGCCTGCACTCACCCTCTGTAGTGATCAGCTAGAAGTAATTGAGAACTTTAAGTACCTCGGGAGCTTAATCGCAGCTGGTGTTGGTGTTGGGGATGAGATCACATCACGAAAAGCGAAAGCTAGAGCAGCTTTCGCCAACCTACGACACCTGTGGCGCCGCCATGACATCCGACTGTCCCTTAAGTGAAGGGTGTACATCGCCGCAGTTCGTAGTGTTCTGCTTTACGGTTGCGAGACTTGGTCTCTCCGAGCGGATGATGCTAATCAACTTTCTGTATTTGACCACTGATGTCTCTGTAGCATTGCTCGTGTTTGGTGGGAACATCGGGTCAGAAATGACGAGGTCCGTCGTCGTGTGTTGGGTGTGGATAGTCGTTCCATAACAGAAGTAATCGCTTTACACCGCCTCCGATGACTTGGTCACGTATTGCGTATGCCTACCCATCGACCACCTTTCCGTGCTCTCTGCACGTGCCGGGCAAGGCTGGAAGAAGCGGCGCGACGGTCAGACCATAACTTGGCGTAGAGGTTTGAAGAAGCTAGCTTCGGCTTTGGCTTCGGTTGGTGCTGCCCGCCTTCCAGGTTGGGGCCCAAAGGATGAGGATTGTCGTTGGTTAGAGACACTGAGAAATATGGCCCAGAATAGGATTTAGTGGCGCGAATGCTGTACGGTCTGCCTGTCGAAATCCCGTGCCCCATAAAAACAACAAAACAAATTCAAAAAGTGTGCGATGAAACACAAAATTGTTATTCCGTTTATTCGTAATCTTCACTTCTGACAGTTACGTCTTTCCCTATACTCTGTATCCCAACCCCTCCCCCGCGTTATTGTTATTGTTAATATTGTTGTGGAGTTGGCACCATGCTTGTTCTCAAGCCGGTGTTATATATATATATATATATATATATATATATATATATATATATATAT